TGGTTTATTACAAAAGGATTACTTGACACCCAGTTAGCTCAGACGTGTTTTGGTTTACCCTGAACTGACAATGTCTGCAACATCAAAGCCTATAATAAGCACGTTCATAAGATAAGTTCTGATCCCCGTCAGCCTTTCAGATCCTCATTTTATGTGTTCCTCCACTTTTTGCACTCGCTCCAAGTATGTGGAGAAACAGAAAACACATCTATAGTTCCTTATGTCCCTCGTTTCTGTCACACGGACCGTAATTGCGTGATTTGTCCACAGTACTAGGTTAACACCGTAACTGTATTCGATTGAATCTTTTTCTCTACTTTTAATCTGTTAGGCATCTGACCATTGAATATGGACCTGCGGTGAAATAAACCAATTATTTAACCTTAGTTGCTGACTGTAGAAGATGCCGTTGTAAATAATCCATCACAAAATCTTCAAATATATTCCCTTGCGTATTGGCTGGTTGGTATTCAATGTGTGTGGAGTTAGTAAAGATGCAATCTGATGGTAGGCGATAGTGTATAATGCTAATCCAGATTTCTAAGTGGTGGCTATAAAAATAAAATAAAAATTTCGGGTGACGAAACGCCCTGGGAAATTCAGAGTTTGCACACTAGAGGAAGACTCATTTCCCCTGATTCCTTCTCTCTGAATACTGCGAAGTATTTTGCATTGTACAGTTCAGCTCACTCTTTACAACCATTAACCATGCACTTTCATGCGCCGGTTTAGGTTGCTGTCTTTTGGCCGCCCGTTTGAATAAAAGAGCAGAATGGTGACTGGAATGTTGAAAGCAAATTCAAGCGGAAGGTAGCAAATTTATATAGACTGGTGTTAAGAGAATAATGAGTAGATGCATGAGCACCACTGTTTGTGACATACAGCCATATCGCGTCAGTGCCTCTAACTATCGGTGACCGTGATCTCTGGTTTCCCAGCCAAGGAGTCCAATGAGACCTATGTGACTCAGTCTCCTGGTTAGGGTTTTTATACCCTCGTGCCAAGTCTTCATTTGACCACCCTTGACCTTTTTCCAACTGCTACCTGCCTCGGCAAATATCGCTCGCCGTGACAACTTATCTGCTGGCAGCGTAACACATGCCCTAACCAACGTAATCTATGGAGGTCGATCATTTGCTCTAGTGGACGACCGCGACAGCCTAAAACTCTACGCCCAACCTTTCATTGCTCGTCCGGTTACCCACCAGACTCGTGCAATGCGACGTAGTCAGCGGTGTTCGAATACCAACAATCTATTTTTATCCTGTTCCCGTAGTGGCTAAGTCCCTGCACAGTACAGCAACACTGGCTAAACTGCTGCAGCAGTTGTGGATATTAGAATGACACGGTAACCGCTCCCATCAAGTCACTTCACTCTTATGATCAATCGAGGGTCACCGGTTCGGGCACCTTGGACGTTTAACCCCGTCCAAAGGGTGTCTGATCAGATGGACTGGGCGATAGCCCCAAATGGACTGCGATTTTTATACACCGCTCCGCTGCCTTGCAGGTCGGGCTTTGGCTAGCCGAAGGGCCCGGTTATGGATTCCCTAAGAAAGTTAACCTGCCTTGGCCGGGGGCAAGCTGGGAGTATCGCGCCCACGAGTAAACCATGGATCTGTTTCTTTTTTATAAATTGTGCTGTGATTTGTTTGGCACACAGTCTGAACTCAGACATGTGTGAAAGAGATCACAATAACCGCCAGATCGCTCATGTGTTTTCACGAATCTTGCCCAAGAATTTTGGCAGTAATTATTGTACAGTCATCGAAAATCTCCCTTTCAGTCAAATTTGTTGAGAGCGATCTTATGTAATTCATGGAATAAATCCTGAGACGTCAAAACAATCTTCGAGTAGACTCATTCAAGACAGCTGGTTCTACGAATCACTCCCAAACATGTCCATTAGATAGTGACGTAGAATAAAAATGGTAAACAGTCGATAAACATGCTTGTGATGGTATTTTCACGAAGCGGTGAGTCTTGGGCTTTTGCAACTAACTCAGGCAAAGTTTTGGTGGTGGCGTGTGCAAAATATTCTACCATGACTTGTTAAAATTAAAACGAAACTTCGCCCGGTCACCACACAAACCTGTTGCGGCAACGATTATCTGGTAAGGTATTTTGATCAAACTGATAGCCTTTTATTCGTTCAGATCGGGAACACCAAATGATGATCCAATTTCTCCATAGGTAGAGGAGTTTGAACTTTATTGGTTGGTTTGATGATAATTTACTCTATCAAGCATGAAACCGGTCAATGGAGTTCAATTATAACTACTTGTTGATTTTACTGAGAGTGAGAGAATTAGGAGCAGTCAGTAAACGCGTCAACGATAGACTGCCTTTCCCACGGCAAGTTATGTTATCATTCAGGATCAGGTAAATCAGGGGGAAAACTTCCCAACAATTAAGTGTACACATACACATACGTACGCACAGTGGTCGTCCATGTTTCCTCCATCCACTCCTCCTTCCTCGGTCCATGCCACACGATGCAGAGAATCGGCAGTTACGAGAGGAAAATGAATACAGACTGTCAGTGTACGAACACCACTCGTTACGTCGCGTGTATAGAGGCAATCGGATCATCAATGCCAAGGGCAGATGAAGGATATTAAGTTATCACGGTCAGGTAATGCTGCTAGCCTTCATAGATCACAGTGGCTAGGAATGTATTATGCGTGCCACTGGATGGGCTTGTTCTGCAGCTTAATTGTGACGCATTGCCGGTGTATGATGTCTCAGGCCGGCTTTTTCGACGGATTAAATGAAAAGTAAACAGTATTCGTCCCAGCAATGCGTATTTTTACAGGGCGAAGACCAGACGGAACTCTCTCGAGGTCCGTGCATCGAAAATCAACGTGGACCGGCATGTGTATGCACTTTGGGAGTTTTTCTCCAATCCATGACAAACGAGGTCTCGTGCGTATCCTGTTTCATCGAGCCAGGAGGTTGTCTACTTCGGATAATGTGGAGAGTGAGCTAATTCGGCTCACGGAAACTCTAAAGCTCACATCACCAAAACCCAAATTCCGAAGCCCTTGGTAAAATCACCACTCCCTCTGTCCGCCAAATCACGCGTAATCTATGAATTTCAATGTGGGTGCGGAGACACCTACGTGGGCAGAACAGAGGGGCAATTGTGCACCCGAGTGACAAAACATATCCCAGCATGAGTCGAACGCGAACGGATGAGATTGAGAACTACACAAACAACCAGCCCATCAAGTCAGCCGCACGGAACACCGGCGGCTTCAATTGCTAGCCAACTGCTGCAAACTGGCCACCAAGCCGACAGTGGAACCTTTTTCCGGCTTGTTTACAAAACCTCGAATGGACGGCTGCTGAGGTCATAGCAATCAAGCGCCGAAAGCCCCTGCTTCTTCAGCAAAAGGAGGTCTACATCAGTCTGGCATTGCGCTGGTAACCACGTAAGCGAAAGAGTGAATTGATACCACGTTAGATTATCAACATCTGTGATATATGTATACTGATTTGTATTCTGCAGTAAGCACCAGCTGAGATGCAGCGAAATGATTCCGGAGTTAAAGCATGCTCGCTTGCAGTGTCGTGTGCTTTGCTCAAGTTTATTTCGGGAAATAGTTGCTTTAATGCGTACTCTGTTCTTAGTTCTGAAAATGTTTTTTTCAATCCGTGGGTTGAAGAAATACCGTCACCCACGGAGGAACGTCAGTTATGACGTATGAGGACTACCTGCAACATTTAACACGCGACAAACGTTCATCCACTGTAATTAAAACGAGCAAAATCAGTTCAGTTATTCCTTTCTTACAATTTGAAATCATGTTTCAAATTATCAAGACTAATCAGATGAACGTTGTGATGTAACGACATGTATACTACTGACGGTTTCATCGCCGTATATGTAAACCTATTCCTGACTTTGATATTCACTAAATTTTTCGAAATGGAACTGGGAATGCGAGGAACCAGGTGACATCAATTCATGATCTGTTTCCGATGAAGGATGTACATATAAAGGAGAGGGTATCGGACAAAGAGGGTGCAATCGCGCACGGGCTGATGTACATCGGGTCCAAGTATGAATGAGTTGACCTAAAGAGCAGAGAAATACGGAAAGAAACAGTTTTGAATTAAAAGCTCCGTACCGTTTCTCCCCCATACACACACAATCAATATCTCTAAGGGAGAAGAACAATCCGTTAACACCTACGGAAGGGTTCAATGTCACAAGGAACCTCGATGAATGCGATCCAACAATTTTGATTAGATTGAGGCGGGGTGGTGTTCTTCGAAAGAGCAAGAAAACAGGCATGGGACTCGGATGGGAACAGAGCAAATGAGTCAGAAGACACATAAGCCGGATGTGACCACTGGTGGAGCGAAATTTCAAATAAACGGGAATCAGATTAAAATCGAAGTTAACAGCGAGAGAGAAAATTGCTAATGCAGTTACGTAATTCAAACCAGATAAGGCTCGATAGCTCATTGCAAACAAATTGCACGTCAGATAACTGACATGGAAACATGAAAAGATGTGTACTTGAATGTGCGCAAGGCAGAAGAAACTTGAAACTATGGGAATATGTGTGGCTTAATGAGAACAGTCTTGGTTGGGGGGAGGAGTGGGGGTGCAAAAAGGAGACTAAGATCTCGCCTGAGCGTGAGGAACGTGCAAGTTCGTGGTCAACAGTAACTGGTGCACGCGTTTCACACGAAGGTTTAGGTACACTGTACACGTGATACAAAGCTGGTGATACGAGTAGGAGATAAGCATTTCATCACATTGCATTCTACCACCAGCCCACTAGTTCCTCAAATGGAGAACTGTTAGAGGCAAATGGGTACGGCAGATCTTTAAGGCGTCTGTCGATGATGACCATATAAAAAAAAATTAAAGTGAAACAAAAGAAAGAATAGGACAGAGTTAGAAAGTCGGAACGGGTACAGGCGAGCTGAAGATGGTTGGTAATATTGCGCGCAGTTGAGAATATATGTCTACAGCAGATCCGGATCTAGGTCACGTAGACAAATATGTTCATGTCGGATTCATCCCGACGAATATATTGGCGTTCGAGTAACCAGTCCAGAACCTCTTTGATGAGACGTTTGGATGGGACAAACTGGAAACGAAGTAAATCAACCAGCTCTTTGTACAACTCATTATGGTGTAATCGTTTTCGAGTCTTCATCAGTTTGATAATGCCTTCCTGTGCGCGCAATTGTCGTAGCTCGACAATCGCCATGCTCTCGTCCTCATTGGAGGGCTCCTGAGTCAATTGCAATCGGCCGATCAGATTAAATCTTCGTCGCGCTTGGGCTTTCCCGGCACGTCTGTGGGATTGCGTGGAGAATAGCAAGAATTAAAAGGTGAGTAAGTGAGATGCTGCGATTGGTAAACACGTTACTACTTTGGTCGGGATGCACATAATAATAATAATAATAATAATAATAATAATAATAATAATAATAATAATTGTTATCTAAAACCCCAAATATATGAAATAACTTTGAGTTTTCTAGATAGAGACAATTCAGTTACTCTTGAAACCATAACTCGGGTCAGATCTGTTTCCGCTCAACAGAGATACGGTAATGGATAAATAAGTTCAGATAGCAATCCAATGTTGGAATCAGTGTCACGAGAACTTGTTGAAAGACAGCGTTGAGAGAACAAAAACAAATCAAAATAATTCAGGCAAGTACAGAAAATCGTTATAAGATGAGGCAAACAGTTGACTTTGGATTACATATATGATATGACTGTTATTTTATCCAGTACATTAGACGAAAACGGTCAAGTTTCACAAAAAGAGGGGGAAAGGTGCATGGAAATTTTGGACTCAAATAACCTCCATCGACTTACTTGTGCGTAAGCAAAAAGTGCAACACGGGATCGAAGGACCCTGGTGAAAAACAGATTCAATGGATTGCAGGAGTCACCTCACGTTGAAAATCTGTTTTCTTGATCTATCCCCGAAATATTTGACTGTTTTGCACTAGTACTAAGGATTACGGATAGAAAGACGACGGACTAATATCAAGACAAATAAAAGCTTTATCTAATCAACCAGATTTTAAATGTCAGCAGAGACGAAGCTGTGGCGCACTATTTGCTGACCGTAGTCCGTTCGCAGTCATCAGAATTTTTTCGCCCAAGTCACACTCCATGCTTATCATTCACCTCAGTGAAGTGCTTGTATGGGAGGTCAAGTCCATTGTGGATTGAACGCTTCTGACCTCGATGAGCAATAAACTATACCAGTGTCGAATCAAGCAATACGGTTATAGCCATGGGATGCTTCAGCAAATCGTCACCGGGGGAGAGTCGTACATTGAATAGAAATCCAAAACGTCAATTACCTAGAAGCGACATTGATAAATGAAGAATCCGAGTTCAACTGGTGGGTTTCGAGTCCACGATGGGAAGAGTATCAGTGTAGAATTTGTAGACAAACTGTTACTCAATCGGAGCTAGTCACGTGAATAAGTAATTGCATCAATCAGAACGTGAACCTTGTGCGGGGAAATCGCTACATTTACATGCTTCAGTCGTTACGAGACATCTGTCATTTTGAGGTATCACTGTAGGGGATAAAAATAACAGTGCGAAAGGTGCATCGAATATCGATCGCACAACAAAGGGAGCGGTGGTGTGTGAAACAACTTTCCACAATGTTGCTTTTTACTCCTGTTATCAAAAATAGATAACGGGTTTTATGCAGACAGAGAAACGGAAATGAATTACCCACATCCTACAAGTTGTCTCCTTCCCGCTTTAATGAATTGTAAAAAAGGAAGCCCCCTAGCGTTTCAGTCATCCGAGACAAACACACGCGATCAGTCTGCACTCAAAGTAATCTTATCGATCTGATCGATAAACAAAACTCGTATTTGTTCCATCGCCCACACCTACACAGAGCCGAGCACCCTAACGCCTGTGTGTGCGCGTGAGGATTCAATAAAAGGGTCACATAAAAGACTACCATATGCATCCTACAGGTTCCAATTGACAGCTATTGAGAATTCTCAGTTTTAAAGACGGGGGCGGTACACTAGAATGTGTATGTAATCCGACTTTCTTGTCGTTTTACCGAAACTGAACTACAATGCGTAGGTTTTGGGGACATTATAGTGTTTCCGAAGAAAACTACTTGCCAACAAAAATAGGAGTTTTCGGTTATTTTGCCCGATATTAATATGACCCAGAACGAGCTAATCCGTTAGAGATTTGAAACAATAATCAATAAAAAATTGATTGGAATTTCCGTCGAAGAAAAACTGGACCAACAGACTTCTATTGACAGCTACATGCATACTGGGGTTTCGAATAACTTTGTTTATCAGGACACTTTGTGACTCAGAATGCAGATAGTTCAGTTCTGTCCCCTATTATTTGGTTTTCTACAAGGTCTGCCGTTCACCTAGTTTATGGTTGCAAGAAATAAGCGTGAGAAGGCACTGAAGTGCGATCGGCCGATACAAGTCGCGCTTTCCGCACATTCGAACAAGGAACTAGTAAATTTGTTGTAGTTTCTAATACGCGAACTATTTCATTTATATCTGTAACCTTCAATTTCCCGTCAGCGAGAGAGAGAGGAGTTGGATAACCAAAAAGTGAGAAAATATCAGAACGGGTCAACTTACGCGTTGGAAAAATTTAAATTTAACCGGAACAACGTGTTCTCCGTGAACTCCTTGTCCGATTTAACTTTTGGTGTGTAGAGGATCACCTGATGTTCCATTTTCGGGTGCGCACAGAGCGACTGAATGACAGAGAGTATAACAGTAGAGCATAAACTATGGATTTACAGACAGCAACACATTACCTACTGAACTGGTTGTATCACATTTTTAATCCTCCCCCCGTTCTCTTCCTCGAGCACACCATATCAGTTCACGTGTATATGGATTCACTAACGGCACTTCTATTGCTGTGAATGAAAACCGAGTGTAATCAAAATTGTTGTTCAAAGATAGTCTGGAGGAATTAGATTTGTCGCACAAAAATAAAAGCAAACTTCATTTATAAGGTTAAATGGATATGATAGATAGAAGAGAATGACAAGAAAAGTCGCCGTCTGATGTGAAGTGGAAAAAGCCTTGGCAATGGTGGACTGTGCCATTTGAAGCTTATTTCCTTCCAGATAAATCTAACAAACAAAAGATCCTAGTGACTCGGAGTATTTACCGGGGGAATTGAACATAGGGCAACGAGGGAAATAACTAAGTACAACCGGATATTCGTTTTATTGTCTCAATATTTCTGTGTATGGGTGAGTCTTGGAAAAAACGGAATGTGCTGCACGTAAACAGTCACACTCAACTCCACTGCAAAAAAGTTTCACGTCTTTGCATTACGAACCAGCCAGAAATCACTGTGCATTCGTTTCACAGTTTTTACCGGCGAGACTGATAGTTAGAACCAGAAAAAATCAGATAGAATTATCAGTAAATACGAAAATAAATAACTATTTCTTGTTCCACGAGTGAAAATGTCATTTACGCTACCTTTTACAAATGCTTAGTAGGGTTTGAGACACTGCTAGTGGTGCTCGAACCCTGAGGTCTAATGTTTGAACTCTGACATCACCACCACCACCCAACGCTTGTACAAACTCCTGCACTACTTGAACTCGATCCTGCCTGAAGTATTGATGAAAAAGCCTAAGCGTAACCGGAAGACCAATTTGGTTATCATGGCTACGTCCTGGTGACGAAATGAATGGGCAATTTCTCTTTGCTTTACTTAAAGCCACTCATCAATGTATTCGAATCGACCGTTTAATGAGCTGAAAAGAGGAAGAAAAATATATTTATCTATCTTGAAACAACGACATCGATGGGGATTATCTCTTTACCTATTTCGGATGGCAGTAATTGATGTGCTCCCGTCTGTTAACCAACCACGTTCACATTGGCCTAGGGAAATGAGATTAATTCAAACTAACCGTGCGACACAAAAATTATTGCTTACTCCATAGGTTTGCTGTAAACGTTTACAAACCAAATCTCACAAAGGCAATAACATCACCCACACCATGGTCTATGTCTCAGTTATTTCAACATGCCTGGTCCATCGAAAATCGTCATCATCAGACACAAGCACCAACAGATTCAGATCGGGTCTTTCAAAATTCTATTCTTTTCCAATTGAACATTTCGAAAAATTACCTCCTTGGATTGCTTGCTGCCGAGAACTTGGATTTCGTATATTTCTGGTCCTATAAGGAATTGGTATAAAACGCCCATCTCACGGATGAGCTACTTCACAAGATGTAAAAACTAACAATACGGGGCGAATTGTTATTGACGACAGCAAACCATACGTCGTAGAGCTTAATGCCTGTGAAAGCGAACGGGTTAATCGAACCGTACCACTCTACAAAAACTGGGCGGCAGTATTCATAACTGGGACAGAATCTTAATTTACCGTTAATAAGGCTTTAGGCTCAGTTAATCCATTGAGAATTCATTTTAAACACCTGAGCAAAGCACCTCAGTAGCCACGAAATAATCCACGGTGAGTATAGAACAAAATGAAGCTTGAAAAACAAATCTATTGGCAAAGTTACACGTGACTGACTTATCCCCGGAGTTTTATTAAACTCTCTCGGTGTGAACGGATGTGAGCCAACCCCGATCCCTTTTACATTTCACCTTAATCAGCAATCGCATAGTCAATATCCTCAGTTCCGCACATGCCTTTGTAGCCCAGCACAATGAGACCAGCTAGTGTAAGCACCACTCTTCCCAAAGATCGCAGATTACCTGCTTATGAGTATTTCTCCATTTAACTACCCTATCTTATTTCAAATGCCCCCGGAAGCCTCAGTATGGTCGGAGGAGGGGGTCTGGGGTTGCGGCTGGCCACCATTCCCTTACACCTCACGAAATGCTCTCATACGACCAAGCGTCTCAAATAACCTCTCTGCTGAGGAAGCCCTACTCACTGACTTCTCGTGGCGGTGTTTTCCTACCAAAGTGAGACGATTAAAAGCCGACATCCGAGGATACAACCGGGCTGGTGGATCACTGGTAATTCACCTAGGGGAGTGGGCCAAAATCTCTGATTCCAAACCAATTAATAGGAGGCGCACAAACTATACACATCTTGGTTGTGGCAGTGGTCACCGGCTCGATTGGGTATCAAGGTGTATTGGGCACCTTGGACGTTTCACCCCGTCCAAAGGGCGTACGATCCGATGAGTTGGACATCGGCCCCCAATGGATTGCGGTTTTCGCACACCGGTCCGCTGCCTTGCGGGTATGGCTTTGGCTAGACGAAGGCTCCGGTTGTGGATTCCTCGAGAAAATTCATCTACCTTGGCTTGGGAACCCGGCAGTATTCAGCCCACATGTAAATCATAGAACTTTTTCTTCTTCATAGAGATATTTGTATCGTGATTTATTTGGCACACAGTCTGGCTTCAGACGTATGTGAAAATAAAGCATATACAAATGCATGATTAGATGGCTTTTGTAGTGATATGGCATATTTTTATAGTGGGATCTACTCCGTTCCGTATCGATTAAGCTGAATACCATCAAAATATAAACCGAATGTGATGTTCACTGAGTTCAGGGTGAATGAATGAAAATAATAGGTTACTGAAACGTCATGATGGTGGCTGCAACATAGGTCCATTAGGCGGTACTAAAACGCCACCAGGTCTAAAAAGAACTGCACGTGCAAATACGTATAGATGTGCTAAATTACTGACTCTCTAAGAAGGTAATTATACTGAAGGCGGAGCCTTTGAAATTGGCCGTGTCATTTTTTGTTGGCGCTGGAACATTGTTTTTTTCATCACACAACCTCTGGATATACTTTTGTATCAATTACGGTGACCTCAATGATAACCTACAACGCGCTCAGTAAAACATCCGTACGAGTATCCGACGAATATATCAACGAACCTTCCTTACGTGGTTTTTCTCGTTTTGTGAGAAATAAGGTTAAGAGGATCACCGAAAATTCACACGGCAAACGGAAAAAACATCGCGCTGGCTGGAAAGTTGCACTTGAGCACCGAAACCTGAAGAGCATTGGTTTTCCGATCATTTTGTCGTCGAATGTTCGAGCAATTCTTTCTAAGCTATCGGACATGGGTCTTCGTATTCACGACGGCGAGTGCTCCCAAAGTCGTGTGCTACTTTTCCAAGAATCTTGGTAACAAGAATCCGTCGAGGACGAATTGGTTCAGATCGAAGGTTTCCATTTATTTCGAGCAGATAGACCTCCCGGAAGGGAAACTAAAGGCGAAGGCGTCATCACTTATGTACACCGGCTGTGGTGTAACTCCACCAAATGCATATTTACTCACTGCACACAAAACATATCTTGTATTTATGCAGAATGTAAAACACGCTTTTTCCGGTGTCACTCTTCGATTATCATTTCAAACCTACACATAACTCTTGACTGTACTTCTAGAGAGTTGTCTACTTTACTGGATGTGTTCTATCCAATCATGTCGGAGGAATCTGTCACATCTGTATTCATCATTGCTGGTGATTTCAATGGATCTGATGTGAGTTTTTAAAAACTTATGTCCCTTCAGAACATTGTTACTTTTTCCATTGAAAATGATGCCTCCTTGGACCACTTTTTCGTTAACGAATCATCTTTATTCGTGCCTTCAAACGTGCAGCTGTAAGTAATTCTGATCACTGTCTAATTAACGTTTGACCTACGATATAAAGTCAATGTAAAAAAAACAATGCACGTCAGATACGTCCTATATGACAACATCAACAGCCCAATTTGATGGAACTAGAATCCATGGTTGCCGGTGTGGACTTACAACTACTCTTCAATCCTGATATTTCAGGCCCCTGTGAGAACCTCACCAACTATCTCAACCTTTATCATGATATGTGCTGCCCTCAGGAAAGGATTCATCTACAGCCCAACCGCTTCATCTCTGATAGACTGAAATGGTTACGAAGGCTGAAAGAAAGGGCGTATCGCTTAAGAGATAAACCGACGGTCAAATCTGTCAACTTTCATATTGGAAACGAGATAGCCTATCTCAGTCAATTGTATGCTGACACCCTGCTAGGAGACAAATCCTGCCGTCAGCCTTGGAACGGACTGAAGTTGCTCTGCGGTCGTTCAACTTTACTTACCACAGTTTCATGTGATATCAATGAGCTTGACAAATCATTTGCTTCAGTGAAAAACGTTGTGCAAGCATTACCGCGTCCCAAAACAACGTCACTTGATTTCCATTTTCCTGTGACTGTCACAACAGAGCAAGTTTTAAAGGAGTCGAATGCAATCAACAGAAATAAATCAACTGGTCCTAAAAACATGTGTACACCACCTCACACAAACCGTTTCGTTAATCTTTTTTCTTTTACCTCCTTTTATTGGGTATACCGAGATACAGTTTTCAGGAACGGGGTGGCGGCCAATCAAAGGGCTGCCATACAACACACATAATGGGGAAGGACAGGCGGTGCTGGTAGGATTCGAACACGTCTTCCGAGGTGATAGTTGGTGACGTTACCACCGGGCCACTACCACCACTCGTCTGTCAGAAGGTAGACTAGTTAACACATGGCGTGAGGTCCGCATCACTCCAGTACCTAAGAAAGAAAAGGGTAAGTTTCGGCCTATCGCTATTACTTAAGACTTTTGAGCGAATTATTATCAAGCACCTATCCTCCAATCTTGATTTTTGTGATTCCAATCAGTTTGATTATTGTAAGCGTCGCTCTACTTTAGATGCGGTTGCTTGTCTTGTACGCTATGTTTTACCCACCATAGACCAAAAACACAAAATTGTTCATGCTTGTTTCTTGGACTACACAAACGCGTTCAACTCTATCGACAAAAACATCCTATTGACACTGTTACGGCGAAATAACCTCCCGCCACATATTTTGAATTGGATGCACGACTATTTTACCGACCGAGACCAGTTCACTTGTCTCAATGCTATTAGGTCTTCTACTGTTACTGTAAACCAGGGTGTAATGCAGAGAGCAATTTCATTCCCTTTCCTGTTCTCCTTTTATATCCAAAATTTGCCAGTTACCCCCAAATGTTTTCACTTTAAATATGCCGATGATATAGTATTCGGTGGTGCATCTCACAACAACAACCCTTCAACTAATCCCCTTCAATCAGCCATAAGTTCCATTTCTGAATGGTCCGATGGTGTTAACCTTTCTTTAAACTGAAACAAATGCATTGAAGTTTTGTTTTCCACTAACCGTAGGTCATCAACATTTTTCGGATTATCTGTTCCCCACATCTTAATCAATAACCAAAAAGTTGAAAGGGCACAGCACGTCAAATATCTTGGATGTTTTCTGTCTGCTGACCTCAAATGGTCCTATCACGTAGAACAAACATTTCATAAAGTTAGAAAGTTGACCTTTTGTATTTCACGCATTTGACATCTTAGGGTGCCGTTGTACGTCGTTTCTAAATTTATTTCTTCGTGAGTTTTATGACATTGAACCCACTGCTCTCTCGTTATCTTCCTTGGTCTATTGTCTAAGGGTTTTATATTGATCGGACGCTCTCTGAAAGGCATCTCAAGATACGGAGCTGTATCTTACGAGGCGCTGGTTGATTCAATTGTCAATCAACATATTAAGGCTTGCGACTATCTTGTCTGACGCATCACATCTTTTGCACTGAACCCTCTCCCGCTCCATTTCAACTTCTGTAACCCGCAATAAATTCAAATCTTTATACACTCGTACCACTGCTTTTCACAACTGCGCTGTGGCTTACCTTTCATGTTTGTTGGTTTCTAGGGAGCGAATATCAAATGAAATTACACACAGTCTAACGTAAATTTTCACGTTGACATTTTCCTTATTTTTTTTACGTGTTCTCAGTGTCCGATTCATTATCATCTCAGTAACCATTTGTCATATCTTAAAACTCATTTTCAATAGCGTGCAATGCCAAAGAAAAAGCGATAACATTTTTTCACTGAAAATTCTGTGCACATTGGATAAATAAAGTGCACTCTTGACTTGACTTGACTGTTTTCAGTGAATAATTATAGTCGAATCGAATGCTGTTTTTCAAACCGTAACACAGAAAAAAACCAGACTATCAGATGCACGGACCGAGTACAACGGAACTGTTGTTTGCGAGTGGATAATCCGAGATGCAATAATTGTTCACATGGAGAGGAACAGGCAACCGAGAAGACCCGACTGTAAGAGCGTATCCACAATGAGGGGCAAACAACCCACTTACCCATAATGTCCGACGCAGNNAGGCCAGTGGCAGTGAGAAGGCTATCCAAACGCAGATCTTGGTCGAAACGTCTATTCCATGCGTACAATACCACAATCTGGTAGGTGGTCAGTTCCAATTCAAATCGACCCTGATCACTGGTGAACAACACAATCCCATGGGACAGATGATGCTGCCAAACCAAACTACGACCGTAATGTTTTTGACGGTAAAATTCTTCAATCTATTAGGAATGCGGAAACAAGAAGTGGCGAAGATCAATGAGCTTTCTTTAGGGACAAATAAGATTGGCAGATTGGTGGAACTTAGAAACAAAATATGTGGAGTACAAATGAGAATTGGCGTAAATCATCGCAGACGTTTAATTAGTCGTTTACGCGATTGCTCAAAAAGTAAACCGGTCGATCGATTTCGATTCACGGCATGAATATAGAACAAGGAGAATGTACACGACGAGCTGATCTACTTCTCTCTAAGCAAAGTTACTGTCTACCCGGTAGGCTTTGATTACCGTGATGCGATATATAACAGAGTAGACAACGAGTATGTGTGGACAACTGTATCAATCGGGTGAGTCGACGATTAGACCTAAAGGTAAAGGAGAAAGCAAAAATACTGGACTACGCATAACAAAGTGCTCAAACCCACGAATCAAACTGTCATGAAGGTGTTCCGACAAAGTCCAAGTGCATGGTTGCTTGGACGAAATGTGGATTGCGTGTGAAGAGGAAGTCACAATGATAAACAGGCAACAGTAAAAATCACGTCAATTGAATTTCTGAGAATAAGCGACGGGGCTTAGGGCGAATTCATCGAAAATATCATGTTACCCCACTTGACTAATCTTCATAAATCAAAAGTCGTTGTGATCAGGTTGCTGAATATTCAGTTGGATAGGTATTGATCGAAACTCGTCAGATTTCTTCCTATCAATGCCTAACATTCTGAGCCTCATTCGCGGGATTGAATATGATATTACCCCAGACACAACAAAACTATAATAGTATCCACTTATGTTATCGCTTCTATTTAGTTGAATGCCACTTAGACGTACGATTTCTCCATTCGGACGACGGTTGCTGCAGCATCACCTGTGAGATAACGAAACCTCAGTAAAAAAACATTATGAGAATTTATTATTAAAAAATGACTCATAGATACGATACAGGCATGGTAATTTCAATACCCTGTGTGACCTTTATTTTCTAAACCCTTGGGGGTAGTAGTGCTTGTGAAGCACTGATGATATCACCTTGGCTGGTGATGAAACTTTGTAAACAAATTGCCAAGCTCGGCAAACAGGAGAAATGGGATTCAGTTCACTCGAGTTACGAGAACCGATTTTCAGTATTTTGTTAATAGGATCAATTCTCAAGCGTTCCCCTGACATTCGCGGCTTGAACCATAATATTGATTCTGTACATCAATTTCTTTAGTCCACTTCCCTTCTTGCTCTATTTTTATCCGAAACACAACTTTCTACTTCTACAGACACCATCCATCTTCAGTTTCCCGATTATTCTCTTTACACTTCGTTCATTCCCAAAGCTGGTGTTTGTGCTTTCATCCATCATTCAATTGTTTCTACCGCTTAAATCTCACTAACCGCGAGTTCCAGACTCTGTGGCTGAAACTTCGGTTACCTTCTTTCAACCACTACTGCTGTACGGTGTACCGTTCCCCAAATAGTAATGACCCTTCACTCTTTGATGTTTTATCGGCAAACATGGGTAGCATTGTTGAACCAGACTCCGACGCTCAGTTCACAATTTTGGGTGAGTTTATTGTCCTTAACAAGGATTGGCTGTTACACTCTTCAGGGAAACCGCTTCTTGTACGTGAAACAGAATCATTTGCCCCAATGACGAACCTCCACTAACTGGTTGATTTCCCGACCGTGCTGACGACCACTTTCATACCCTCAATTTTGTCCTCACATTCGACCCAAAATTATTTTTAAATGTTGCAGCAATTCCTCCCCTGGGCTCATCGGACCATTATCTTACTTCACTCTCTCTCTCTATCTGTTCCAATGTTCCTCCCAATTCTAGACGCATGTTCTGGCGATATGGTTCCGCTGATTGGTGCAGATTTCGTCACTTTCTGGCATTCTAACCCTGGAATGAATGTTACTTCTCTGCCGATGTGTACATCTCGGCTTCAAATTTTTCCAAAGTTCTTATGCAAGGCATGCGCCTATTTATTCCTCATTTCACTAAACCCGGCAAGCCTCTTTCTCCAGAATGGTTTACCCACGCCTGTTATCGCGCTGTTCGTAAAAAGAAATCAGCGTTCCGCCGATGGTTTTTGTTAGCGCGAAACAACTGCACAACCATCATAAGGAAGGCTAAGGAGCACTTTGTTGAGAGCAAAGCAACATAGTTGGCGACCGCTCCCTCTGGAAACCGGACTTTATGGTCACTCGCTAAGGCAGTCTCCAGTAACTTCTGTTCCACTAACTTCCCACCCGTTGTTAAACCATCTGGTGACTTAGTATCCAACCCGTTGGAAAAAAGCAGAAGTGTTTGCTTCCAGTTCCACCCTACTTGAATCACCCATTCAACCCTCCACACACTCCACGACGAAGCATCTTTTCACACCGCTCATTTCCACCAGAAAGATACGTCAGATCACCTTATCACTGAACCCAACAGGATTCCTCCCATCGTCCTCGAAATGTGCGCCACAGAACTAGCCCCTCTCCTACGCCAATTATTCCCTCTATCTCTCGATTCCGGGTTGTGATGAGCTCGAATGATTGAGCGACGAAAGAAAGAGAAAACGGAGAGCCGGAAACGAGGCTTTAGTTCTGTAACAATGTAGGTACATCGGCTACAATAGAAAGATAGAAAATCTACATTATCAGTAAACAGTGATACCGTGGTATAAAGATCCAAAGTATAACAAAATCACAAACTCTTGGAAATTTTTGAAATTCTTCCCATCCTCAAACGTGGCGATCACTCAGACCCAAATAACTACGGGCCCCTTTTCTCTCAAACATTAGTTATTTCGAAGGTAATGGAATTAGTCATTACCAATCAGATCCGTCGCCACTTGGAGCAGAACAAGATGCTAAGCGACCGTCAGTATGGTTTCCAGTCCCGTTGACGTACCGGTGATCTTTTTGCACTCAACAACCACGGAGAACCCCATGTGGTGTCGTCGGATATATTGAAAGCTTTCGATCGTGTCTGGCACGCCGGTCTCCTGGATGAACATCCCAAATTTGGTTTTACTTCGGAACTTGTGTCCTGAACAGCAAGCTAGCTCAAGGACAAAAGCATCTCTGTTCGAGTGGATAGGACTATGTCTCGTTCCGTGCCTGTGAATTCTAGTGTCCCCCAAGGTTTTGTACTTTCCCCTTTCCTTTTTCTGATGTTTATTAAAGACCTTCTTTCTTCAACTTCAAATCCTATTCACGCCATTATCGATGATGCTACCCTACACCCTTCTCTATCTAATTCCTCCAGCATTACTGACTATCGCTCCTCCCCAAAATCTGATCTGGGCCTTATTTTTGCTTGGGAGTGTCGCAACCGTGTTCTCTTCAATGCCAGTAAAACTTCCCTTAAGTCCATTTCTCTTGGGCACGCATCTTTCTCCCCGTCCTTGAATTTTAACCCGAACATTATCCGTTCCGCAGAATCATGCAACTTATTGGGCTTTTTCTTATCTTTTTCTCTTTCATGGTTACCAATATATTTATCTACTTGTCTCCTGCGCTGCGCGAAAAATCGGCTTCCTCTTCCACACCAGATGTTTCTTCACCCCCATTCACTTACTAACACTTATAAAGCTCAAATTCTTAAATATTTAAATACTGCGGTCACGTGCGTGGTGGAGCTTTGTCCAACTCTTTTTCTCTTCTTGATTGGGTTCAACGTAAGGCCGTTACCTCAACGACCTGTACCTAACATGCAACTTTCAGTCACTAGCTCATCGTCGGGCAGTCGCTTCTTCATCCTTATTCTGTCGACACTACTTTGGATTTCGCCCTAATGAACTTCCCGCTTCTATCCCTCTTCCGCTTGTTCTTACTCGTAGATCCCGCGCACAAGCGGTTAGGCACTCATTTTAAGTGACGTTACACAAATGTCGCATTTCCAACTTTCTATCATCTTTTTCCCAAGAACAGCACAATTGTAGAACACTCTCCCCTTTGGGTCTTTTCTCCAACGTACAACATCCTAGTATTTAAACGCAGAATCAACAGGCTGGTTCTAGCTTGAATGTTTCCCTTACCTTCCCACTTACAGTATATCTTCGAATCATGGGGTTTACCTCTTTTACTGCATTCACTTTCGTGTAATAAAAAAGCTTTCACTACATAATGAAATATGGTTCAATCGCCAGATCAATTATTGATCATTAGGTAATTTTGACTATTGTGTGCTGTTGGCCCATATTATTGAGCAAATTACAACACAAAGTCATCATTAACCGAACAAATCACCGCTGTTCATAGTGGGCGAATTTTTATTTTACATATGAATATGGGTGTGTGCACTCAAAAGTAGGCGGGTGAGCACTGCACACAAAAAATGAAATGCAAGTCGTTTTTTGGTATGCTATAAAAATTATTCTGCAAACTTACAATGTGTACATAAAACATATTTATACCTATCTAGAAAAGAGTAAACACAGCATGTTTGACATACAATAAGTGTATTTTCGTGGTGCACAAATTGTCCGATCCAATTACAGTTCTAACAGAAGAGACAACTACAGATCATCGTTTTTGACGGGAAGAATTCAAGCATTTACCCAAAAGACCAACTTGCGCTTCGGTCATCTTTTGCAAATTCTCGTCCTGTTTTTCCTAATTGGTTGAATTGTCCGAATCGTCTCGAGTTGGCAAATCTATCCATGAGGTTAACCTGCTTTTAGTGTGCTTTGCCGTGAAATACGCCGGTTGCATTTACCTATCGCATGTCCAGTCCAGAATTTAATCCGACATCCCGAATCTGGGGTGATTCGCACTGCCATCGGATTAGGCGGTCGAAATGCAGCGCCTTCCCGTTGCTGTTCACTTACAATTGTGGATCTGCGTAATCGAAAATTGCACTCGGACACAAGAGAATAATCGGAAACACATGGGAAGGTCTATACTTAAAACCCGTTCAGTTTCAGTTTGTTCAACCGTTAACCATGCACTTTCGTGCCCCGGTTTTGGTTCCTGTCTTTTGACTGCCTATTTGGATGGACGGGAATAAGAAAGAAGTTCAAAGCGAAGTCGAAGAGAATGTGGAGAATTCCAGGAGTCTGATGTTGCAAAGTAATTGAGATGTACGAGTACCCCTGGTTACGACAATGAGTCATATCACTCATTCGATGACACCATCCCCGCTCGAGGACAGGGCTGTCTCCCACTTGATGCCACTATATTTAACATAAATTTTCGTTGTGTTGAATGTGATTGCTAGTGATGATTCAATATGTTACATTGTGTTACCGAGGCAAGAGATTACTTATATATTTCACTATGTGATAATGTAAAATTAGAAATCTTCAGTTCTCAAAGACGATATAAAGCCGCATTTTGGTGGGTTTTACGTTAGAGCTGAGAACCAATGGGCCATTCAACCCTTCCCCCCCCCCGTTCTAATCCGACTCCCACCATGAAAGGTCAATATTTGAAGTCAAATTACGATTTGTATCAACAGTGCCTGGTGCCTGTGAAAACCCGAATGGGCCAATCCAAACATTCACCATCTAAATATATCTACTGTTGTCCGATTTGTATCATTATGTTCCACTTCTGAATTTCATCAATCTGGATCTGCGCTTGTTGACATATAACACAGTAGTATGAATTCCAAAAATTTGTATCAACTGGTTTGAAAAAACGACCGCAGGTGTCATAATCTCTCGTGTATCGGTAAAGAAGCTAGAGGACGTGACCAATAGTAAAAAGATGCTTTCAAAATGAAAGACTCTAGCAGACGTTGACAAGACTTGAACCGTTGAAGAAACTCCAAAATTGATAAGCCAATCGCAAACGGTAGCGCACTCACCACCGGTAAACAATCCTCCAATTCGGAAGGAAGGCAAATAGCAACTTTTTGCGCAGATCGTAACAGCCAAGATCCGCTACTGAGGATTAGAATATGAACGACATCCACGTTCAAACTAGACGCAAGTGAGGTGGTTGCTGGGGCACTGGAGGTTTTGTAGGCCTCCTTGAATGCCACAGTAAAGTCGTGTGAAAGTTTGATATCCTGGAACATGCGTCCCAGCTTGTTTACCTGTTCCGCTGGCATGCCCACATCCTTTGAATCCCAAAACGACAGCCGGGGGGTGGGGAAGCACGGATGTGAAGAGAAAACAGTGCAGCGGATACATTATTATGATAACAAATAGGAGAAAAGTTTGAGTCAAACTTATCGAGCAGCCCAATGTTCTGTTTACCCCTAAAAGACACAAACACCGTTCTGTTAAGGTTACGGTGAGTAATAAAACCATGATGTGTAATAATTTGACTGCGATGGTATTTATGAATCATATTTAATCCAGTAGCTTGTAAAAGCTGGTCAAATTAATACAGTAGAATAACAGTATTACGAACTATTTGGTAAAGTAAACCCTTCACTAAAACCTGGAGTCCTTCTTGCAGTTGGGAGAGTAGATGTATGATTTAATGCATGGTAGTGTGACAGACTGTTAGCCAGTAGCAATGAACTAATTCCCTGGGATGTTCATGGGTAAAATTTATGAATGAGATGACATATAAAAGCTTACCTGCCAAAGCTGCATAACCACCTAAATTAACTCAAAGACTTGAGAAGGGGTGAGATTACTTTGTTAAACACAAGCTATTTAATAAGTCAGGAATGTAGTATATATGGAGGAGAATCGCTCGTTTACATAGTTTAGCTTCACAGGCAGCTTGGATCTCAACGGCTGTCGTCCGGTTCAATACCAAGAATAACCTAGCGGGTGATTATGTGGTTCGCCACTCCAAGTCCCGGGGCTTAGATTGCCGGTTACCATCGCTGAATAGCAGCTCTTCGCGACTATGGGGTCCGCTTCGACTGCTATTCATCACATACTGGTGTGTAATAAAAAAAATTCCAAAGGTTTGTTCAGCGAACAAGCGAGCAGAACTAAAGTAAACGAATGAACAATCAAGATTGGGAAGGAGAATATGATTTCAGAGAGAAGCTTGACTGGTCACATAACAGTCAACCATCTAAGGCTATAAAATTGAATGTGAAACGATCTGAATCCAAAGAGAACAGAGTAGGAACACAACTAAAAATCGAATTCTCGCTCAAAGGGGATGACGGTGGTTTGCCTATATCCTACTTCGTCCTATAGGGGAAATTTTCAAGACAATGTCTTATGCCCTCACTAGGTCCGGACGGGCGCTGCCACTGTGGTGAATCACGAAAGGAGCTGCTTCGTGCTGTCAAGCCTGACAGTGAAGATTCAGGACTCCAGAATGTGTACGGCCTTTCTCGCTGGAATCAGGATTGGGTCTCATTTAGTGCCGATTTCATTCCGAATCGTCGTTCATGGGCAGCCCAAGTCGCGATAGACCTGGAACCGGTTAAACGCTCATGAAAGTGAGCAATAATAAGGACCAAGCAAAACGGAAAGATGTTGATGAACGAACACGGTTGGTTGTGAATGAAAGGAAGGCTAACGACTAACTCATTGTCAAACGGCAGGTATTTTTTCCGTATAGTTCAGCTCTGTCGCTATTTTTGGTACAAAAGGGTATAACAAAACAGTAGTGTTGAGAACAAAAAGTGTCACATGTAGTTCCAAACAACGTGTCACTATTATTATTATCATCATTAAAAATAACAAATTATCATCCGCTTCAAACCAGTAAGAGTGTGATTTTCATGATCGAGCCTCATTGGCTCAATCACCTAGGTTGTGTGGATTTTTCTCCCCAGGGGATGGATGTGAGCATAACATGGTTTAAAGTAAATTAGTTTATTCCCTATTATCTATGGTTCGATCATGAACGATAAGTTGTTCCCGTGTGCAGCGGAGCGCTGATAGTAAGGACGCTGCTGACCACAATAAACGGATGGACTTTATCTAGTAGTATCGACAAAATTCGTTGCTCAACGGACTGAATAACCGTATTCATAGCATTCCACTACGAAAGCGAGTAACAGCGCAATGTTTCGCTCAAAGATGGAGTGAGGAACAGAGTGAATACTTGAACTTCGCTCCAGTGGCAGGATGTACACTCTCAATAAGTAGCGTAGTCGTCAGATTATATCACCACCGGTTGCACATTTGTTTATAATCTTCCGTTAAGTTTCTGAAGGATCGAATCGGATCTCCGACATCTACGCCCATTTTCACCGTTCAGAGGTCGAATTGTCTACAGTCCTCGATGGTTAGAAGTGCTATTTCATCCGCTTCCTGATTTGTTTGAGAAACAGGCGATTGAATTCATCCAGTTTTTATCCCTTCGTCCGAAGTACCTGAGCTAAAAATGCACTAAGAAATTTCTCATTTGAGGACCAATGAAAGCAATTCAAACACTATCGCATTCAAATCACTTACTCTCAGTCGATCAACCATCATTTCTTCCATCTCGTTGTCTGCGGAAGTCTCCAATATTAGCCGACGCATCAAATGGGATTTGTATACTCGCATGAATATATCCTTGCTGTTCACATACTTCAGCACCAGAAGGACACTTTTCAACTGATGTTCCACTTCGTCCGGGGTAAGGCGACGATTAGTGGGGGATTTGCGTAGTAAGAGATCACAGTAGGTGGCCAACAACTCCGGACAACGCGATTCCACCCGGCGGACACCACTTCTGCAAGCCAAATACAGACAAGTGAAGAGCAAAACGAGAGGAGCAATGAGCAAACATCAGTGCATGCGGTGGTATATCGCATCAAGGCATATCGACATGCGCTCGAAAAGAAAGAGGTGTTTTCGCACCAAAGTGAGAGGACAAAAAGCCGACAGCCGATAACCGGGTTGGTGGACTACTGGTAGTTTACCTATGGGAGTGAGCCAAAAACCCTGGCTCGAAGAGGAGGCGTACGAAGCACACACACCTTTCCGGTTGTGGCAGTGGTCACCGGCTCGATTGGGCATCGAGATGTATTGGGTACCTTGGACGTTTGATCCCGTCCAAAGGGTGTATGACCTGATGAACTGGACGCCGGCTTCTAATGGATTGCGGTCTTCGCTCACCGCTCCGCTGTCTTGCGGATAAGGATTTGGCTAGCCGAAGGCTCCGGTAGTGAATTCCTCAAGAAAATTCACCTGCCTTAGCCTGGGCAACCTGGCACACATGCAAATCATGGTATACTTTTCTTTTTATAAAGATTATTGTACGACTATTTGTTTGGCAGTCCGGGTTCAGACGGATGTGAAATATATATATATATATATATATATCAAGAAACAGGCTGTAGTACGAAGTGTACAAGAATATTATCAGGATTACTTCAATTCGCTGATCCTAAACTGTAAAATCTGCACGCTGTAGATGTGTTTGAGAAGGAGGGGAGGGGCGATTAGAAAGATGGAACCAGTTCCACAAGTTGGGTTTTGGGGAAAGAGTAGTTGAAAGTTATTCATGAAGCTCAGTGGTGAGCGGCCAGGGCCCTGACTCACGGGGAAATATGGCGAAGAGAGAGAGCAATCTAGGGGGAAAGAATTCAAAACAAGAACAGAAATAAAGGGTCAATAAAGTGACGTCTTGGCGATAGACTGTTTACTGCAAGTGGGACAGTAGAGAAGGATTTCTGACCAGGTAACTCGCCTTACTTTGTACATACTATCGGACCAACTGTCTCAATGATAATGGGAAACTAGAAAAGCAAACTCACTCGTATTTTAGGATTGTAAAATAAGTATAAAACGTTGTCGAGTATCATTTTTGCAACAGTGAGCTGACTGATGTATCGAAAGAAACAACGAAAGCAAGAATATGTTAACTGGTTGCTGCTTAGTTTGGAGTAGAAAGGGGACGAATGAGATTAAGGTAGCAGTTGGAACCATTTGCGAGTCGTGTTAACACAGACAGGATTGAACCAGGCAGGATCGCCCAGACTTGTTCCTTACTATCAGAGATAGATAAATAGACAAATGAATGAGAAAGGACATCAGTCGACGAGCGGAAATAAGAGGCACCGGTCAACACGTATGATGAAATCAAGCCCTTTTGTGCGGACCCATCGCAAGGATACTATTGGTGTCATTTATCATCAGTGCAGACTGATTAAATGGGTGTAGACGCACGTTGGAAATATGCACTAGCAATGATCTGTGCAATTCACATCACTACAACTTGACCAACATCCCTAGGCTGAACACTGAGAGCATGGAAATTATGTTACGTAACAACGGCTTGAACGACAAAAGTGAGTTAACGATGGTTGTCGTGATATGTTTTGCGATGGATGACCATGGATTTCCCTTAGCAGACTGGCTTCTGAGATTTTACTGCGCCATTGACTTTAGTAGCCGTTTGGATACATGTTCAGATATCTCTGTGGCAGTAAATTTTGGACACTGCGCCTTGACCTTCTGACTTACATCATACATTAGATAATCATCACTGAAGCCCAGTCTGAGGAAGACACTTATCTTCGATACTATGCAGACGGGTTCAGCCGAATGGCCTTCGTCTGACATGCACCTCAATAAATTTATTTGGATAAACATTATTCAATAGCGTCTTTTGTAAAAAGGCTTTTTCTTCTCCTTGGAGTGTGTTAGGAAAGCAAATAATCTCTGTGCGTTGTTGATCGAACAACTCTTTGTAGAAAAAACGACGAATCAGAGCACGCGTATATGTCGAAACCAATCGAGGACAAACTCCTGATATAATTTCCTCTTTTCGGAGATTCTGTAATTTGGTGGGGCCTTTAAATTTGGTCGCGTCATTTTTTTTATCGCTGGAGCTTTGGCTTTTTCATCACACCACCTCTGGATGTATCAATTGCGCTGACCTCAATTATTACCTACCACGCGCTCAGATTAATTTAATTACGGGTGGAAGATATTAACGGCTCGTCCTTACGTGCTTTTGCTCGTTTTGTAAAATTCGACTGCTAAACGGAGAAAATATCGTGCCGGTTGAAAAGTTGCACTTGAGCACAGAAACCCGNGAGCACAGAAACCCGAAGACCATTGATTTTCCTATCATTTAGTCGTCGGATGTCTGCTCAATTCTTTCCAAGCTATCGGACGTCGGCCTTCTATTTCATTACGAGGAGTACTCCAAAGGTTTTCTATTACTTTTCCAAGAATCCGTCGAGGACGAATTGGTTCAGATCGAAGGCTTCCAGTTATTTCGAGCAGATAGACCATCAGGAAGGAAAACAGGTGGCGATGTCACCACGTGTGAACCAGTCGTCGCGTAACCCTACAAAATGCATGTGTACTTGCATATTTATTTACACAAAAACATTACTTGTATTACTGTGGAGTGTGAATCGCATTTTCTCCTATGCCATTATTCGATCAGCATTACAAATCTTTACAGCACTCCTGACTGTATCTACCTTCTACATTCTATCCAATTAACTTGAAGAAGTCTGTCGCATTTGTTTTGACCGTTGCTGGTGATTTCAACAGATTAGATGTGCCTCTTCAGAACATTGTTACTTTTTCCATTGAAAATGATGCCTCCTTGGACCACTTTTTCGTT